TTTTCCCCCATTTCAACATCATTATATATTTACATTTTCTGTTTAAACTGCGAAGAAAGTAAATCTGAAGATTGTGCCAATTAAAATGAACTTATAACTCTTAAGCTGTTTTATTTCTGGCTTCTGAACATCTAAACTAAATGTAATAGCAAATTTTGGGTGCGAGAAATAGTAGACAACATTTGGGTGACGAAGTGATAAAATAGAACGTAAGTTGTAGTTGGGGAAACTGCGGAAAACTCGTTAGGTGAATGAAAATGAAATGAATCAGAGTCCGAATGCCCGAACACTTTATTATATTTGATGTGTGCGTGCCGAATGCGCGTTGGCGTTTCTCCGTCTGACTTTTTGCCATTTTTCTGGGTTGATTGCATAATCAGTAATTTGATTAAATAAATGATTAAATAAAATTGATGGATTGGATAGCCACAAACACCTTTTTTCAAACAGAAACAAAGAGACAGAGAAAAAGCAAAATATCGACATTCCCGCTGCCGTCATTAATTTCTTTTTTCGCTTCTGGTTTTATCTTGCGTTTTGCACATTGATTAATTCGATTGTTGATTCAATTAATTTGTTCGTCATGCACACATTGCGTATGCGTAATATGGTTATTTGTGCGCCAAGAATCATGTATAAGGTAAAGCAGCAGCTTTTAAAGCCAAAGCCCATGCAATTTGCCCTCGAAACTTACTCTAATGATGTGCTAATTAGCTGGGCTCCAACAAATATGATTTATAATCTTATAATTTGTATAAACACCTGAATGTCTGTGTAAATAAATCAGGTGAATTTACCCCACGCTGAAGAGGCTTAGCATTCAAGTACGTTTACTTAAATTCCCGAAACTCTGGCCCCTCAAATAATCTGAAGGTGTGTGTAATATGCGTGCATAAATCTCAATGCAATTTCCTGGGATTCTGCATATGTATTATGTATTCGTACTTGCACATGGCTGCACTCATTAATTAGTTACATTTGCCAGTGTCTTCATGTATTATTGTCTTCTGACTTGGAATATTGTAATTGGCATCGCACTGGCTTTGTTACTCACGTGCCCACCTGTCAAAAGCCAGAAATATCCGAAATGTGCAATCCATTATTTGCTCACAAACTGAGAGCCACAGATAAAAATTACACCACGTCATTCGTGAATATTATTGACTCAAAAATATGTTTATCCCTACACTACTTAATCATGCTCCCTAAATTGTTTAGCAATTCAGATGCGATCTGTTGAAGGAGACAATAAAAGCCATAAATCACTGGGAAACAAGCTTTTTCTGCGACCATTTTTAACATATATTTCAACCAGAAAAATCCTATCGGGATTCTCCACACCCATAGTTTTAACTGCCTTAGCTTGGAAGAAAAAGAAAAGTGGAGGCCTCAGTGCCGATTTAAGTCCCAATCTCGGAGAGAGTACCCGGCGAAAAAAGGGAAACCCAACCTGTTGCTAGCCAGCTCCTCCAGAGGATCCACGCCGAAACCACACGGTTTCCTTTTCCGCCGCCTTCCACTTTCCACTTTCTGAGCATTGTTTGGCCGCCGCTCATCAAAAGGAAAGCCCAGCGCATTCCCTTCTCCCCATCTCCACCCGCATTTTTTCACTTCGTTGATGTTTTCTTTTCATTGGCGGTTGTTGAGCCGTGTAATAATTGCCACACTGCGTACCTTCAAGGATGTGCTCTTATGCCAACTTGCACACGGCAGTATGAGGAACTTATGGTTGCAAAACATACCACAAGGGGTCCTACGAACTGATTATCGTTGGGAAATATTTAGACCATTTTTAAATACACATTTCTGGCGCTTGAGAGCTTTTTTGAAGTGCACCTTTGAGGTATAATTAGCCAGAGGAGCCAGGAAACAAAGAAAGTTTGCCCCATTGGCAGGCCACTTCCTGGTATTCGGCTACCGATGCCGATGGTATTTATGTATATGGAGCATTGAGGGAGTGAGTTCTTTTCCTGCGGCTCGTGCCTCCTGGGTGCCACATCCTGGGTGGCACATGTCCTTGCCTGGGCGTCGCTGTTGTTGCCACACAGGCACTTTGATGTCAATGAACCGGGCGCTTCCAGCTCCTCCAGACTCTTCCGATGACTATGACAGCATCGATGTTGTTTACAAAGAATCGAGAGCCGAGCGCCGAAAACTGAAAATCCTTGTGCACGCGCTGCTCAATTTTCGATGGCCCTGCTTTTTGGCGACACTAAATCTGAATTCAATATGTTGTCGGTTTAACATATTTCATCTTTGGTCAGCTTCGTTTGCATAGTCCCTGTGTGTGAGTGTGAGTGTAAGTGTGTGTGAGTGTGTGTGTGTGTGGGTGGGTGTGGGCAAACAACGTGTTGTGCCAATATTGACTATGCCCCCAGGCTCCTCTCAATACATTCACTGAGAAAAACAATGGGGGAAAACAAAACGAAAATAGCAAGGGGCAGAAAAAGCGGATAGCGCAAACAAATGGTCGAGTAAAAAAGCGGTCAGATAAATTATTGAAATATTGCCTTTCGTTTGCTTGTTTGTTGAGGAATTAAATTTAGGCGATTATATAACCAAGGCCACTTTTCGGGCTACGGTTACACCGGCCTTGATTGGTAATGAGATCACAAAGTTGATTTTGCTCGAGTCAGTTTGTCTTTCGCTTTTGTTATCAAGCCCATGATTGAATTGGTTTCTTTTTTCACACACGCCCATTCAAATTAGTGTGCTCTCCCAAAAAGGTATGAAAAAACCTATTAAAGTTGGCAAAAAAGACAGAAAATGCCGCTGCGAACTTGTTAATCTGGGACCTCTGTCAGTTATTAGCCAGTACATTATGCCTTAAAGTGAAAATTGCCAGAACAACTTTTTTAGGAACCAGATTAGCAACAGCCCCACAATTGCACTTTTAACACTCAATCAGGAGAGCCCGGGAAAAAACCCAAAAAACAAAAAACAAAGACAAACTTTGGCTGTAAAGCATTTAAAATATTAATCGTAACCATTTCTTTTCTTGCCGGCAACGCGATGGCGGATAAACCTTTCGGCGGCATTCATAAACAAGCGGGGCCAAGAAGTCATTAAAATCATGATTAGCAGGAGCCACAGGTGCCATTAAGTGGACCCCGAGTGGAAAATAAAAGTAAAATTGGGCAAAAGCGGGGAAAAGTCGGGGAAAAGTCGGCGAAAAGCCGGGGAAAAGGGACCGCGGGATCGCAGGCAGCTTTGTGTGTTTGCCGCTCGACTGCGTGCAAATTTGGCTGGCATAAAAAGTGGCCAACTGACCGACCGCAAGACCGAACACAGGGATCTTAATGTTTTTCTTTCAATAATTTTTGGCCCCCAACAAAAAAGGGGCCGCATTCCATTCAGCGAGTTCAATGAGGTGGGTGGTGCAAGGTCACCGGATTTGGCCACCGAAAAAAAAAGAAAAAGGGTTTCGCCCAGCCGATTTCTTGACTTCTCGACATTTGCCTTTGTGCGTGCTGCATTTTTCCACGGGCTTTTCTTCTACGCTCCGAACTTTTCTTTGCGGCTTTGTTTTGCAACCGCAGTGGCTGCCTTTGCTTTGTCCGCAGGTCAAAACTCAAAAGGTTTTCCCCGCTGCTCGGCATTTATTTGGATTTATTTTACCACGAGTCTGCCCGCCGCTGATAAGCTCGATTTTCGCTTTGCAATTTGTTGCAACATCAACGGGAATTGATTTTATGTCGGCCTAATTATGTGGAAAAAATGCTTCACATTTAATTAACAAAAATCGTTACTGAGCCGACACACAACACACACACACAACGGCATCAAAGGAACTTTTAAAGTTCTATTCACAGAACTCTGAGTAAACCACATTCTACAGAAGAAGGAATTGGACCTTCAGACGAATGAAAGTTAATTGGAAAAGAGCTTATGAATTATTTGCTGTATTGAACAAGCAATGTTACTGGTTTTTCTGCTTAATGCACGTATTTCACATGAATGACCGCAATGAAATGTGAATTGGAAATTGCCATCGGGGGAAGAGCAAATTAATTTATTGTCAGTGCAGCAATTAGCCAATTCCCAGCACACCAGATTTTCATTCATTTTCCTCTTCATCGCCATTTCCCAGCCAAGTGCATTAAGTAAAATTTTAATTGTTTTCGGACTCTGATAATTGCCAGTTGTCGTGGACTCGCCAATCGATGCCATCAGCCAGTTTTCTTTCTAGCCAAGAAAATTGCTTGGAAAAGTCTGTCATATGAAGAGCGTTTCTTGGGCAGCACTGGCTAAAATAAATGGAGTTTTCCTGCACTTGCACAACTTTCCCTTCACTTATTTAAAGCCATAGAAAATGCTGTTAAACTGCACACTGCACTTTAATATAACAAAGTATTGCACAAATATGTCTATTGTCTGCTTTCTGGCAGATACTTCCTGTAGCGACTCACTTACAGAAGTTGCGGAAAAGTCGGGGCAAAGTGCAAGTTACTGGCTGACAAGTTTCGAACTGCAAGTGTTTTTTCATATCAATTTTTGCCCTCACTTTGTGTTTCCTCGTTTTGTATAACTTTAAGCTGTTTTGCAGCGTTGACTGTGAAAAGTTTGAGCCGGATAAGATCCACAAGACTGTGCGGACCAAGAAGTCGAAGCAAACGGTTTAAAAATTCAGTATTTAAACTTTTCGAGTGCGTGGCAATCGCAATTTGGGTAACACAAAGGGCCAAGATTGGTGTGGCTAGTTAAATTCAATTGGTGGCAACTGGGCACAAAGGGCGTAAGGAACTATTGTTAAATGCCATTGGGCAGAAATATATTATCATAATCTATGGCATTAATTCCCCACTGATTTCTGTGCTCCCCAGTTGATAAATGACCACTGTATTGGGACGAGAAAGGCAGTTCTTTGATTTGGAAATTCTGTACTTTCGCCTATTTATGCCTTCGAGGGCCAGCGATAAATTTTGGCCCATTGTTTGGCCGTCCCGTGCTTTTTGTTTGGAAAAATCCAAAAAAAAATTGACTAAAAAAGCGATATTTACCTGATAAATTTCTGACATTCGGCAGATTTCTATTTGCGATTTTTTTATACTTGAGTTTTAATGTTCACAGAGCACAGAAACAAAAAGGCGGAAAAAAATGTATTTCTTGAATTTTTGTATGTTTTTTAGAGGCTTTTTTAGACGTTGAAAAGTTTTTCACAGTTGTTATGATTTTTATTTTTTGTTTTGGCTTTCAAAAGAACGTTTTCCAGTTAGCCGGAATTCGGTTTGGTGAATTGTTTGTGTTTGTCTCCGGTTTTCTTTCAGGGCTGTGTGTTCGCCTTAAAAAACCCGCAACGACTGAATCAAAACAAACAAATTTCTTTAGTTTTATTCGAAAAAGTGTTGGCGGATATTTCGGCAGCGGCTTGCCGCTCGTTGCCGCTCGGAAAAGCCTCGGAAAAGCCTCGGAAAAACCTCGATGGAGTGTTCCCAGCTGCTGGATATCCACCCGTTTTATCCGCCCGCCCCGAGTTTCCACTTTATCCGTGCTGCGTCTGCGCTTTCCCTTGCTCGGAGTTTTTCTTTTCTTGTTGTTCTTTTTTTGTTTGTTTACATCGCCCCTGCTTGACTCCTCCGGTTGCCCTTGTATTTCTCGCTTTTCTCGTTTTCCCCGCTTTCCCAGCCATATCTATTGTGGGCCGGCATTGTTGCTTTTCTCTAAACGCTTTTTAATCTCTTAGCGCCGCGCTTTGTTTTTGAATTCTCTCAGCTGTTTGCCATCGACCAGAAAGTCTCAAGGTGTTTGACACTTGGTCATGTAGCTCCATCCTCTCGACAACTGAAGAGCATCCAGCCTTAACCGCAAAGGAGTCGGGACTGGGGATTGGGGCTACGAGATTCCCGGCTTTCACACTTCCACATGAGCTGCAGGCTCGGATGCTCTTCGCGGAAAATGGGAAAAGTTTTGCACGGCAGAAGGCTCCACTTTGTGTGCTCGTCCCTCGGAAACTAACACCAGCGTCTCGGTTTGCATTGCTGAAAAGATAGCATGCTTGAAATCATGGATAAAATGCATAGTAGCATGCTTTTCTGGGAAATTCACTCAAAATTTTGGGGAAAAAAAATTAGAAAAATAAACTTTGGCGCAGCTTCGATGCTTTATGATTTAAGCCATGCGGTTGCCGTTGAATGCTTTCGGTTTTTGGGTCGTTGACTTGTCAGCGAGAAATGCGCAAAATGGTTAAAAGTCATTAACTTTTATGGGGCGCAGAGCCCGTGGAAATGCAATTTCCTTATCGGTTTCATTTGGGGCCTTTGTCGCAGGTCCTTTTCTAATTTCATTGCATGTGGCTGGTTTATTTTCGGGCGATTTCAATTGAATCCTGATTCGATTGCGCGCTGATTGATGCTTTGTTGCTCGGATGTCTCTGGATTTCTGGATTTCTGGATTCCACGCCAACTGGCGACTTTCTGCGGCTCAGGTAACAATTAGAAGTTCGATGACTTGTCGTCTGTGCAAGAAATTCATCTCCGGGATCCTTTGTCGGAATAGACAAGAGGGAAATGGATTTCCTTGTCATATTTCCGATTGGCGAACTGTAGCCACTGTAGCGTTGCTTTGGTTTCCATCCCATCCATCCACTTGATTCGCTCAGGCACTCGATTAGATCCCAGTTTATGAGTGCCCTGCCGGAACCAATAAGCCCACTCACCCAACTCAACTCGCCGTCCAAGTGGGCGGATTGTGCACGGCGAGAAATTTGGCTCAACATCGCGGCCATTCTGCTGCAGGAATGCAGGGCGCAGTTTGAACGACTCTGCGCCGTTTTCGCGCAGTGTGCCGCCAAACAAACATATTGAATTGGAGACGCATGAAGTGCGCCCACTTCAGCGATGTTTCTTTATAATCAAATTGCAAACTGTAGCGATTTTGCCCGAGTCTTGGAGGCGAAGTTACCGCCCCACAGGACATCGGGCAACTTACAAATGCCCGAACACGTCCCACTGACAACTTTTCGTCCTTTTGATTTCGTTCGGGGACTTCTCATGCGCTTTGAAATGCAAAGTTGCACTTGCAGCGGCAATTTCCAATGCAGTTGCACTGCCGCCTGCTGCCTGAGATTATAATTGCATTTTTGCGCTCTTCCTGGGGCACGGGCAGAACAGAAGTCCGGAAGTCCTTCCAGGACACCACGCGCGCCGAAAGCCACAGAAACAAAAAGGAGCTGAGTTGCCAAGTATGGCGACAAGGAAATACCAGCGCAAAAAACGAGGCACAATTCCCTGGGAGATCAAAGGAGTGAAAGTGACGTCGAAGGACATGTGGAAATGGGTGGATTCTTTTTTCAGACGTACCAGGCTTTTTAATATAGTATGCATATAAGAAGCAGTATTCATACGACCATATTTGATGACTTATCCATAGGCTGCAAAACTGAATTGTTATACTTGTTATATACCCGTGAGTCAGCCAGCACATTAAGGCCCATCATACCCGTATGCCGACCAGCTACTACGTAATGCACGCAAGACAGTTGATTTCGATTTCAATTTCATAGAATTTGGTCAGCACAAAGCTCCGAGTGATTGATATGCCTCAGGGGTTTCGCTGCAGAATCGCCAGAGCTCTGAGAATCCCGAGAATCCTGTATGTCCTGGGGGTCCACAAAGCATGTCCTGGTGCTGGCAAAGGTGTCAGTTTATGCGATTGCAAGCGAACACAGAGTCGTACGGACGTATGCCACAATATCCAGTGCTGAATCCTTAAGATGCGCTTTAAAAAGCGTAATACCTTTCAACGAGGTTTCAATGGTTCAATTGTTAAATCACACACGATGGCCAATATGCTGTCATAAAAAGAGAGCCCCTCACAATTATTATTGGACATGCGGCTTATTGCGTATGCAGAAAACCACTTATAAAAGTTGGCATCGCCAACGTATCAATACCACCAACTGCATTAATATTTATATTCACATCAAGTTTATAGCTGCGCGATTGCAATTAATCATCGAGTGCAAGCTGCATTAATATATCCGAAACGATGGTAATGCGTACATACTATTCCAGGGATAAAATGCAATGAAACTTGTATTACACCTTTGGCAACAATTTCCACAATCACTTCCCTTTCCACAATTCAATTTTGCTGGCGGGGGGCTGAGTGCGGAAGTGCGTGTGTTTGTCGTATTGGTATTTATTTGACAACCAACAAACAAATGCGCCCGTCCACCCTACCCTCCACCCCTTTTTCTCTCTGTGTACCTACACCACACACGCACACACACACACCACCCCCTGGGGTATTCTTAAGGTGTACGCGATTGTGTGTGTGCGTTACAAATTGAATTCAACATATTTGCTTTAAACGCTTTCTGTGCCTTTCGATGTGCTACCCATTACTCCTTTCTGGGATGTTGTGACATGACGTAGCGCTTACGAAACTATTGCCCTGTGCTGCATAGAACTCCACATTTCATTAGCTTTGCAAACTTTGCCTCACTTGCCAACAGGAAACTACTGCTGCGACTCTCTGCACAAACTAATATTCCTGTCGAGTGAATTTATTTTCACTTCCGTTTCCGGTTAACCCCATCGCCTCCATGCTCGCCCCCCGTGGGCGTGTCAGCTCTTGGGGACAGATTAGCGCTCAAATCATGATTACCACAGCAGTGGCAGTAATTAGAAGACACAAAACGCAGGGCGTGGGTGTTATAAATACTGGCTCTCAAGATTGCAGTACATCAGCTCCCAGCCACAAGGAAATTCCTCGGAAAATGCCAAATGGCAGAGGGGCCGAGCAGTGAGCGATGCCAGCAATTTGCTATTAGTTATCTCGGTTATTGTTTTGTGTGTGTGAATGTGCGGATGTGTGTGTGCGTGTGTGGTCTCGTTATGCATTTGCTTATGCTGTGTGCGTGCCAATATCCCACGGAGGACCACAAGCACAGCTCCACATGGGACCAGCTCCCCCAAGAACACACTTACAAATTGTAGAGATGGCATACGAATTTGTCTGGCATAAAAAGGAAGGGCCATACGGGCATTCGCTTCCGCTTTTCCGTAGCCTCACTGTGCTGCAGTAAAAACTGCAACTTGTGCTCGGTTAAAATAAGTAAATACCACCCAGATAAGCCAGTGATTTATTGCGGCCTTTGTGCTCGCTTATGCGAATTCAAAATCCATACACGTTCCGTAGTCCTTCGTAAAATGCATAATCTACCTATAACACATGAAATAATAGCCCAAATATGGGCCAAAATATGGGGACCTTGACGTCTGTTAATTTCCAATCGACTGGCATTCAAGTTTGCAAATGCGAAAATTCCCAAAAATAAAAACTAAATTTCCTAAGTCCACCAAACAACGATAGGGGCGGTTAGCATTGGTAATGAGCTACTCAAAACTTTTATACTTTCATATTTATGATAATTTTTAAGAGCGTTATGAAGAAAATTCCCATCGAAAGTATCGAATATTTGGCAAAAGTCGTTTTTCGGATTTTCCGTCATAAAATAATCAGTTTTTTTGCCACAACTTTAAAAATAATTGTCTGAATACAAAATGTGATACCTCGTTGAGCTCGTAATTAAATTTCCAATCGAACTGTGTTCAAAAATTGGAACTCTATTTTTTTGCCATTTTTTGCAAATTTTGATGATGTTACCCCTTACAAAAAACGCAAAATTTCGAAAAAAAAAAATTTTTTCTAAGTCCACCAAAAAGTGATAAGGATGGTTAGCCTTGGTAATTAGCTGCCCAAAAATGTTATTCTTTCATCTTTTTGATCATTTTTACCGAAGTTATGATGAAAATTCCCATCGAAAGTATCGAATATTTGGCAAAAGTCGTTTTTCGGATTTTCCGTCATAAAATAATCAGTTTTTTTGCCACAACTTTAAAAATAATTGTCGGAATATGGAATGTCATACCTCGTTGAGCTCGTAATTAAATTTCCAATCGAACTGTGTTCAAAAATTGGAACTCTATTTTTTTTGCCATTTTTTGCAAATTTTGATGATGTTACCCCTTACAAAAAACGCAAAAATTCAAAAAAAAAAAAATGTTTCTAAGTCCACCAAAAAGTGATAAGGATGGTTAGCCTTGGTAATTAGCTGCCCAAAAATGTTATTCTTTCATCTTTTTGATCATTTTTACCGAAGTTATGATGAAAATTCCCATCGCAAATATCGAATATTTGGCAAAAGTCGTTTTTCGGATTTTCCGTCATAAAATAATCAGTTTTTTTGCCACAACTTTAAAAATAATTGTCTGAATACAAAATGTGATACCTCGTTGAGCTCGTAATTAAATTTCCAATCGAACTGTGTTCAAAAATTGGAACTCTATTTTTTTGCC